CAACAGATTTCTGCTTCAGACAGCTTTTGATATCTTTGTCACAGCTTAGCGCCTGCAACTCTAATCAAGATTAGAAATCATATTCGAAAGGAATCGAGATCTGTAAATAAACTCATTGTATAATAAAATTAGAAATCGCCTAGTAAGGTGTTTACCTTTGCTAACTCCAGTGAATTCTTAACCACCCTACTTCCGATCGCCCATGATGTCCATGGAGATCCTGACATCTCAATGGAGCGGGCAACATAATCTGCAATCTTTTGTTGACATTTACTAAATTGATTTCCACTAAGTGACTCAACAATAAAATAATCGAAGATCTGCCTTCAAACAATTTGTTGAACATGTGCTGTACTTTTACACAAACTTTCTTCGTGTTTCTTATGCACCAACAAATTGCTGTTTTGTTTCAAGATCATGTACATGCACCTCTAGTTACAGGACTAAGTATTAGTTGGCCAGCAGCTGCACCACCTGCACTCTCTCCCCAAACAGTTATGCGTGATGGATCGCCTCCAAAATTTTTGGCGTTTGAGTGTACGAACTAAACGAGGACTTTTTTGGGAAGATGAAACCACTAAGTAGTAAGATGACGAATAATAAGATCTAAACTGTATCACCTTTAGCGCTTCTGCCATGTCGTACAAACCCAAATTCCCCGGCATGCGTTCGTCTCCAGTTGAGAAAAACCCTATATATGAACAGCGTGATTGTGAAAAGCACATTGTGTTTGTACATTTTTGAATGAGTGAGAAGCAGAAGATAAGGCAGAAGAATTACCGTATACTCCAAGTCGATACTGTATGGTAACAACTATGACTCCTTTATTAGTGTATGAATTGGCAAAGCTCTCAAATCCACATTCTACTGCCGAAAACATCTCATAGCCTCCACCATGTATCCAGAAAAGTATGGGAAATCCTACTTCTGATTTCGGAGGCTGAAAGTGAAAAAGAAATTGGGAAATTCGAATGTACTGCAGCAGCAAAAGGCAGATACTTTTCTTTTAGGTTTAATAATATTCAGCGTCAAGCAATCTTCACTTGTCCTAACCCAAACCGTGAATACTGCCTCTGGAACGATAGGATGACATGCCGCGCCAAGAACAGTACCGTTAATAACGTTATTCCAAGCATCCAGCGGCCTAGGTTTCTGGAAGAACTCAATTTTTGTGGAGATGACAAACGTATAGATATAAATTTGTATACCTCAAACCGTAAATCCCCTACTGGAGGTGAGGCATATGGTATGTTAAGAAATACCTCTGCTACTTCACCTTTTGCCGTTTTATATTCAAAACCTTGCACTTTCCCTTGATTCAGCTGGAGAATTTGAGCATTTGCTGTCGCTAGAAGACACAAGCACAAACTCACAAAAGACAACATCCTGAAAATTAATCGTTGACTTAATTCAATGAAACATTCCTGCTGTTTAAATACTCAAATATGCGAAAATGATTCAGACAGAAATGAATCGCCTTGTCTGACTGTTTATCGATAATGGCTCCCAGTTATCATCGCACCACTCATCGATAACGTTCGCCACACAACTCTACTTTGGAAGGTGGAACGAGCACGCATAGCCAAGACCTCCTGACATTGACAGTTCTGGCAATACATTTCATGCTGTTTGGATATTTGATTGCACTGATTTGAATTACGCTTGTGATAGAAAGGCTAGAATGTAATACCGTAACTGGGTCAACACAAATCAAAGAGTTTCTAGTCTTACCTTGTCGGAATCACAACAGCTTCTATCCACAAATTTTTTTCCAGTTATCGAACTTCCTAAGATTTCAATTTCGTATTACAAATAGAATATGTGTGGCTCTAATTAATGTGCGTAAGATTCCAGTGCAACCTAAGTATGTTAAGCGCGCGTCAAATTTGTCCAAACAGAAAATGTAAATAAAATTCCAAATGATTTTGTGCTGAAAATCTTTGTATTGATCAAATAGCTATA